GGGCCTGACGCGGGCCTTAAAGGCGCCGCTCCCGCACCCACTCGCTCAACATCCTGCCGGCCTGGGCGTTCGCTTCCCTGCCGGCCTCAGTCCCGCGGGACATTTGGAGCCCCGTTTGGGCAGAAGTAGCCAAGGACACTAGGTCTCTAGGAGCAAACACTGTGCGGACTGAAGAAGGGACCGGGGTCTCTGCCCCCAAGTTAGACGTCCTTTGTAGATTGTGGGTCTACCTCGCGATCACTGCCTGACCTCAGGAACTTCTTTCTAGAACCCACAGTGGCGAGTGGACACTTCCTTCAGCCCCTGTGTCTTCTAGCTCCCCCGACACAGGGCCTTTGCGATGGCTTGCAGACTACCGAGCAACTAAGGAGTATACCGTAAGAGGTCAGAAGAGACAGGAGAACGAAGGGGGTCATTCTCCAGCTGACAGGGCTCCTCTTGACAATGTGGGTCAGGCTCTGCCTGCACTACAAGTTGGGAGGGTCCCTGCTCATTACTGTCTGTGCGCCAAAATGCAGTTAGGCCTGAGAAGGCAAGGAAGAAATCAGAGGCCCTGAAAAGGAAGGAACTCCAGCAGGCTGAGCTGTCAGGCTCGTCAGCTCTCTGGGCAGGCCAGCTCCATTTGCTTCGCATGGGCAATTTCCAACCCCGGCTCCTTTTTTTTTCTCATATTGCTCTCATTGAAAACTAAGGGCAGCTTGGAATGTAAGTGAAGGCTTTCCCACTCCTCCCCCGGCTGAGCAATGAAGAGAAAAGTGGAGTGTTTGCTCAGATATTTCAAATGTTCTTTGTCTTTCTTCTGAGGGAATCTGTGTCCAGAATACTATAGTTCTGGTTTGAGAAGAGTGGGTGAAATTGCCCCAAAGTCAGAGTCAGCTTGGACAGAGAGACCTTTTCCTTCTTGCCTCCCTCCTACCCCCAAATGATGGACGACAACCTAAGCTGTTGGCTGGTCCACTGATGCCCATGGGAAATCAGGTTCTAGGTAACTCTGTGTGCACAGTGGGCTATGCCAAAGGGTATGAGGTTGGTTTGGCTGTACCACCAAGTATAGGAACACAATCTGTGCCAATCTGGCTCTGCTCTACAGCTTGTGCCAGCGTCGGCCTGCCAGGGCACAAAGAGGCTACTAATTTAACATGGCTGGCTGGACCAGACTTATCATGTTCAGACTGCCTTGTGGCTTTTTCTGGGGAGACACAGAGAAATATTCATCCCAGATAGAGAGGTATCCAGAGCAAAGAAGGACTTGGAGTGCAGCCGGGTGAGTTGTAAGGTTGTTGGGGTCACTTGTAGGAACACAGTGACCTGTAGGAGACAGCTACACTATAGACTCAGACCCATAGCCAAGAAGAGACCGGGAGCAAATTCCATGCTGCAGTCAGTGCACACTCTTAAAGACACGCCTCACTCCTGAGCACACTTCATCCTGCCCAGGTGAGCAGCTTGTGGAACCTTCCTCTTTTCTATGTTGTCCTGAGATGCCATCTTGGGGACCACTCTGTGTTCTCAGTAACCTTGGCATAAGCAACAGGAAGTCACCTGAAAGAGCCCCTGCTTTTGCCTGCTTACATCCCAGGCAGAGAACCATGCCAACTGGGGGCACAGGGGTGGCGGGCTGGAGGAAGCAGGTGGGTCCTGAGGTTCAAATGCTGGGCTTGGCACATCTCACTGGTGCCTATGTTTAAGTATCAGGGAGCCTTGAACTTCCAGACATGCATTGTGGCTTCCTGACAGAGTTTGCTCTCCTGGCATTAAGCAGCCCTGCAGTGAATCAGGAGTGGTATGTAAATTCATCTACCCCAAGGGGTGCGGTTGTAAAGGTTCCCATTATACAGCCAGGCTGAAGGAAGTCTGGAGAGTTCCTGGACTAGAAGCTGGCTACCAGCATTCACAGGCAGACCCGAGGACCCCTGGCATGGGCAGACTTCTCCAGACTAACATATTCAAGGAGTTGTCTTAGGCATCTTATAGGAACCGATGCTTCCAAGAACATGGCTCAGAAGTGTTGCAGTAACCCATGCGAGTCCAGCAGAGAGCATTGCTTTGTCAGACTTGTTCTGAGTGAAGCGGAGAGGGCATGCTGAGACACAGCCAACATGAAGCAGCTATTCCTAGGGACCATCCTGGTCTGTCACTTGCAGTCTCGCCAGCTGCATGAACAAGCTTGCTTAAAAATATAGGTTCTTGGGCTCCTCACCCATATTGTAATCTACAGAATAACACACACACACACACACACACACACACACACACACACACATCACTGCCACTTGGAAAGTTGTCTATCTCCTTAGAAGGCCTTCTGAAAACCCCCAATGAAAATGAAGATTCTCCAGGCTCAGTCTGCAACACACAACACTGCATTCTCCCTCCCTCCCTCCCTCCCTCCTTCCCTCCCTCTGTTCCTCCTTTCCTTTCTTTTTTTATTTTAAGGCCCAGGTTGGCTTCAAACTGAGAGCAATCCTCCTGCCTCAGATTCCTGAATGTAAGGATTACAGGAATGAGCCAATATTGTCCTTTCCTTAAGCTCCTCTCCTCTTAATGCCCATACTAAAATCTGTAGTAAAAACTCTTAATACTCCACCTTTGCTTCCTTCAAAGGAAGAACGAAGATCCTGCCACCATCAATGCTGCCCAGGGAATAGGGTCTTAGACCCTTGGACCCCTGCATTTAGTAGCCACCCCCATGGAGGGCAGCACACAGTGACATTTTAATCACAGACATTGCCTCCTTTGGAGTGTCCTGGACAAAGTAACCTCAGGAATGCTATTTCCTTGCATTGGGTCTGTTGTCTGGGGCTCTGTGGGTGAAAGATGAAGTTCTGGTCTGCCGCTGCCTATCAATCATGCATCGGGAATCCACTGAGACCTGGAACTTAGGAACCTGGACAAAGGGCCCCCTGGAAGGCAGCGCACTTTTGTTCCTAGGAGAACTTAAGAAAAGGCATCAGGGAAGGGGTGTCAGAGTGAGTGATTTCAACACCTGTGAAGTTGTTGATGTTTGCAAGCAGGATGTCTTGTCTTCCGTGTCTCCCTCTTGTTGGGTATATGGCAAGGGGCTTCAGCTTCTGAAAGTCAAATGCTCACAGAATTCTGATTTCTCCTGTAT